CCCCGGAGCTTACCGAGAGCATTACAACAGCCAAGTTCGCGCTCAAGTCATCCAAGCTCCTGCTGGAAACCATGATCGAGGGACGTGACGACTATCGGATGCGACGAGAGGACATTATCGATTCCATTGTTGATCTCACGAAGCTAATTAAGAATGCCTGCATTGTGCCTGTCGTTCAATCTCGGCGGTCTGGGGAAGCTCAAGACCTTTTCACTGCAGCATCGGCTCATAGGTCAGATCTACAGATGGTGCTGCGACTGTGTGGAGCAGTCCTTACCCGCTTTGCTACGCTGATGGGCAAATACAATCTGCCGGACCGGGCACTCAATACTTTGGAGTATCTGACGTTGGAACTGCTCGTTGAGCAGAATAGCGAGAACGAGAAGGATTCGGTGTTTAGCATCAAGAAGTTCGAGCATTTCCGCCAGAAAGTCATGGATGTTCTTGCCCAGATTTTCGCTCGATACCCAAGCCAACGACAGTCGATTCTAAATGGCATCCTGGGCAACCTGGAAAAGCTACCCGACAAGAAAGCGAGCGCGAGGCAATTCTTGTCGGCTCGTGAAGTCCCGATTATGACGATATCTGCACTCTTCATGCGATTTGTCCAAGTGGTCGCAACAAATCCCAGCACTCGTCTTGCGTCGCAAGGCGAAGACGCGGCTGTTAGCATGATTGAAGACGATGTCAGCGATTACGAGCCTGGCCAAGCACCCTCGAAAGCCCCAAAGAGAGGCGCCGGCCGGGCGCCGGCAGTGATTGCTCAAGACTTGACGGTGGAAGCTACCAGCACGGCAATGTATATTGTAACCCAACTGTGCGACAAAGCCTCGAATACTTCCAAATCAGGCGACAAGCCATTCCGCAACCTTCTGGACTTATTCATCGACGATTTCTGTAACGTCCTTGGTTCTCCCCAGTGGCCGGCTGCTGTCATACTTTTGCAGAGCCTCTTGGTTCGTATGGTCAACATACTCAAGGACGACTCAGCAAATAAACACTCTGTGGTCGACAAAGACATGGCACTCACAACAATGGCGAGGATCGGTTGTGGCGTGATTGATTTCAGAGACCAACTCAAGAAGATGAAGCAAAGGCTGGACATTTCGCAGTCGGATTTGTCGTCAAGACTAGATCGTCTTGTGAATGACGCTATGAGTGAAGACGTCAAAGAGAGGGTCAATGATGTGGATCTGCTAGCTTTCGATGGCCCGTACCGCATGATTCTCGAATCACTGGTCGATTATCTCGATTTACGCCCCTCCCAGGAAGACCCGCATCTGCAGGCAGCGACTGGCTGTCATATCAGCTCGTGGCTGGCAGCTGTCGTCAAGACCTTTCCAACAGTTCCAGAAGGAAATACAGATCACAGGCCGCAAGCAATACAAACTGTTCAGCAATGTCTGGAAAGCATGATTGCAGACCCCAAGTGGCTCGGTCAGAAGTAGTAAGTTTTCCAGCTTGTTCAGGCTCGTTCCCCAGCTGACGGTGCTTGATAGCAAATTCCAATCGGTGTCAGACGATCAGAGCAAACTCGCCGCGGGCGTCATCACTTTACAAAGCCAGGTGTGCAGGTACCTTTCGCAGATCGTCAACTATATGCAGGCATACGCCCGGGACAAGAGCTCTTCGAAGCTTCGGACGAGAGGAACAGCAGGATTGCAACAACTGCTGGACAAAGATCCTCGCGTCATCTCCGAAGGACATGTCATCAACATGATCCCATCGCTTAGAGACAGTTCACCGATGGTCCGAGAGGCGACGCTTTCGCTCCTGTCGAACTGCTTGGCCAAAGAACCATCTCTCGAGCGCCATGTGCTGCCACAAATTCTGGAAATGACTACAGATCCCTCAAACGGCCCCAAGAAGAAGGCCATCAAGCTACTCAAAGAGATCTATCTCCGCTCCACTTCAAATGAGAATAGGCTCAAGATTGCCGCTCCTCTACTCCTCCCTTCGCAGGATAATGAGAGTGCAATTTCCGAGCTGGGTCGCAACGTCCTCGAGGAGATATGGTTGACGGCAGCTAATAACAATGTCAAGACCGATGACAGTATACACAGGCTCAACCGTGCTCAACGAGCAGCCTTCATGGTAGAGCTCTTGGACTCTATCGAGCATAGCGCTGTACATTTGGAAGCTTTCGAGAAGTTTTTCGCTCATTGTCTGTCACCTGAAGCGAAGGGTCCGGCTTCTAACCGAAAGATTTGCGCACAGCTAGTTGTCGACTTGGTAGACGAAGCCATTGCTCCCGGAAGCGGTACGGATATCAAGTCTCAAGCTCGTGTTATGAACACCCTTAGTGTTTTCGCGAAGATCGAACCGACCCTGTTCACGCTCGACCATATGCGGCATCTGAAGCTATACATCAAGACCATCGCCACCATGGATGACGTGGCCCTTGTGCGGCCAACGGTCGTTATCTTTCGGCATGTGTTGCCGACACTTCCCCCACTTCAGCATGCTTTCGCAGAAGAAATTCGAGCAAGTCTTCAGCGCAACGTTCCTAAGCTGGCTAAATGTGCATCGATGGGATGGCCTACAAGTAGAGAAACTCTTCTTGACGTCATTCACTGCTTGTGGGCTATCAGCGAGATGCCGGGTATGGATACTGACAAGATTTTTGCCACAATCTGCTCTGTCATATGCAACCTTAGGCCACTTTTGGACTTAGCCAAAGAGCAGGCAGCCCAGAAGGCTGATACCATCATGTCCTATCTAATTCTGATTGGTGCTTTTGGTCAAGTTTGCAGCCTGGATCAACAGGTCGAATCATTCAACAACAAGCTCCGCGCGTCCCTTAACAAGCACGACGGAAAAGAATCTCTGAAGAAGCACCTGGAGCCGATGTTGAACCAGAAGAATCCACCTCCCCCATCTCTATTCCTATTAGACACGGTCCGACCTTTCACCATGCAGATTTGGGAGCCGAAGATTCGCGAGCAAGCCCTGCAGAGTATGGGTGGCATATGCCAGCAGTCGCCAGAGCACTTCATGCGCAGTGAAGTGGAGAAGGTGGTCAAGCTTGTCTTTGTTAACGAAGGAAACGACACCCTGAAGCACATCGCACTATTATTCTTCAGGCAATTCTTCACTGTCGCTGAGCGGCGCTCGGAAACTGGTGCGCAAATTGCAACCGGCAAAGGTGCTGCTAATGGCTCGGCGCGCTTGGAAACGTCTTTTACGGCTACCGGAAACGACCATGCCACGCTGCATCTGGCGCAGAAGTTCTTAGAATATTTCGTGAAAGCTGCGTTGGAGAACAAAAATGAGTCTGCCGTCGTTGCCACAGATATCATCGCTAGCATCAGTCGCCAAGGTCTTGTTCATCCAAAGGAGTGTGGTGCTGCGCTTGTCGCTCTTGCGACCTCGCCTTGGTCAAGCCTGGCTCGAGTTGCAGCCGACGAACATAGACGCATTCACGAGAAGCAAGAGTCGTATCTGGAAAAGGAGTACATGCAGGCCATCCACATGGCTTTCAAGTATCAACTAAACATGTTCGCTGATCCTCATGGCATGGTCGAAGCTACACACACTCCGAAGCTCGCGAAGTTGTTTGAGGCATTGAAGACGGGCAAGAAAGCCAGTCTCAAAAAGTTCATCAATAACTTTTGCAAACAAGTGGACTTCGACCTTTCAAAGCTGGATATGAGTGGCACTATACCGGAGGCTGTCTTGTACGCGCGCTTCTGTCTGGAGAATCTGGCTTTGCTCGACTTCCCTCACCTGGAAGAGCTTGCTGTGTTCCTTCATGCAGTTGAAGCGATGGTCCTGAACACCACAGGGCCCGCTATAGGAGTTATCATCGCGGATGAACTTCCAAAGCAAGACGCGAATTCAGTGCAAGCTCAGCCTCAAGATATGTTCCAACAACAAATGTTGGAAGCTAGTGGTGCAAACGGATTTCCATCAATGCTACCAGCGGCAGTCCCGACAGCACCTCAACCTGCTACTCCAACAATCAGCAACGACAGACTTCGTCAGATCACCGCAGCTTGTATGATCCTGCAGATGGTGTGGGAAACTCGCACTTTTGTTCGAAAATGCTACTCCATGAAGAGCAACGCGCCCATTCCGCAAAAGGATTACATCAAGCCTGCGCATCGTAACAACCTCGTCACTGGCAAGGAAATTTGGGAACGCTTCGAAACGATCATGCGCGCTCTAGATAGCCGCGAGAGCATGGTGAAACAATGTTATGACTTTGCAGATTTACTGGATGTTGATCGCGAGGCCTTCATTGACGCCGAAGGAGACGATGCACTTGCTGCAGGGTATGAGACGCCAACCGAGACTGGCGAAGACGGTACGCCATTCCCTACTAGTGGTCGTGGCAGGAAGAGGAAGAGCAATGTCAGCTTAGGCAACACACCGAAGAAGGCAAGGGGCAGGCCTGCTGGATCCAAGAAGAAGAGGAATTCTCGCACACCGGATGGCGACGGCGACTCAGACTAGCAGCCCTGATCGGACAGCCACCGATTGCCTGCGAGAACATACATTTGATACGGCGGAACCAAGACTCCATTATCTCAACAAGCACATCAGCATCGTCGGCTATGCTACGCGCATCGGACACTTCCTTTTTTTACAAAATCATTTCAGCATGCTTTCGGCGTTCAACGGAAAAGGCATATCATCGATACCCACCAGCATATGGTACATGGACAGTGTGTATCTGGCGTTTCTCATTTCGTGGCATCACAAGCTTAATAGCTTGGACGGCGATCTTCAGCATGTCATCATCGAAGCTATCCGAATCTAGAACAATATATTATCAAAAACTCCTATCGGGCTCTCGTGAAACGACCCACATGCGATGAAAGAAATTTCGTGACCATGAAATGACTTTTGTTCTATATGCGATTTTGACAAATCGTCTCTCCCATCAGTTATTGATCCATTCCGCGGTGGTGTCCTACGTTTATGTTGCCATGTTCCTATGCATGCAACTCGCGCGCGTTGACATCTTGTGATGTCTTCATTGCGTCTTCTCCATGTTTTTAGCATGCAACAAGCACTTTTGTCTCCCCGGTGGTGAAGCTACTCCCCACGATATGATTGTTATGTATCTGCTCAACTTCCATGTCCTTCCCACCTCGCCCAGTGGCAGACAAATCTTTGTGTGCGTCCCTCTCTTCCTTCTCCAGATTCGCAGCATCCGTGCCTTTATTCAGAGACAACGCATGTGATGGACCCACACGATGCTTCTTATCTTCTGCGTCCATCTCGTGCGAAGACCGAGGAGAACTGGCGTCCCTGCCATGTCGCCGTTCTCCCTTCTCCACATCCTTCATACGCACTACATCTGCACCGTGCTCGTCTTCTGATCTTGTAGAAGCACTGCTAAATTCCGCTCCCGGCCCCGCATCGAGAGCCGCCGCATGAGCCATCACAGAGTCGGCCTCCGGGAACACGTCGGAAGATGGGTAATGCGAGGAGATGGCATCAGCCTCGGTGGAAGCAGATTGAACAGGATCAGTCGCGATAGACTGCAAGCGCGAATTTGAGCCGTTGAGAGATGTTTCCGGAAACGACAGTGGTGGATGCGATTGGAGGCTTTGGAGGCGAAGCGCGCCGCTAGACGCTTCTTCCCGGATTTGTTTGCGCTCGTGGTAGGTAAGACCAGGTAAGAAGTCTGAGACGTCGATTACGCGGACATCTGTTGGTCCTCCCTTTGGTGTTTGTTAACGGCGCGTGTAGGAGGTAAAAGCTGACTGTGGTACATACGATGTCCATATTATCTAGATTGGGCTTCTGCTCGCGTTTATCGCAAAGTAGTGTTTGTTTTAATCTTAGAATGACGCGATTGAATGCCATTGTGTGAGTTCGAAGACGCGTGGCTTGGTGGGCTTCGGAGACGTGTGATTTGATGCGCGATATCTCGTTGGATCTCGAAAAAAATATAGTATATGCAGCGATTCTACAAAGGCGGCGGCGTTTGGAACAATTGGGTGAGAAAAGAGTTTACAGTAACGCGACAGAGGCCAGGAAATAGTCCAAAAGCGGTAGGATCGCGATAGTTCGCGTAGGAAGATGCTCGATAGATGCTAGTGAGTAAATACTAGATACGCGCGAGCGAAGGACTGAGAGTGTGGCACCAAGTCTGCCTTCTTCAGGCGTTGTCGTGGCGCTGGGCCATCCCTTACGAATTCGCCCTCATTGTTCCGATGCTGACATTCCTTTGCTTTCGTTGAGGATGTAAGAGCGGGAGTGGGCGCCGCGGAATGTAAGGAGCTGGGCGAGCTTGATAGCTCGTGCGTCTCAAACACGTGAACAAAGAACGGATGTGTGAATTGTAAGCAGAAAGCCTTACGGCGAGAAGCGTCGCATTTGGGAAACGAGACTAGTGGGACTGCGATCATGAAGCTGGTTATTAGTATTAGGCTTGCGAGTGCTGTACAGTTTTGCGAACTCTACACCACTATTTGCTCGAGGTGGATAACGTCTTTGAGGCCAACAATTTCCACTTGTTAGTAGATGTTCATTTCTACACGACGTTTCATAGCACTAAATAGGCGCTAGTGGGCACCCGAACATCTGTGGCATTCGACACTAACCCGAGAGGCGTGTTCATACGATCGGATGCGATATGTGCTAACAGCAATCTAGCAGCATCAAGGGGTACTTTAGTAAACCCGGTGTTACTGAAATTGGGGTCGACACTGTTACACATGTTCAAGGATTACCGACGGCGTGTGAACTGAAGTTGAGCAGTCTTCATTGTGCAGGATCTTTCTGGTCTGTGCTAGAATACCATTGATCGTCTCTCGCAAGGAGATCAAGCCCTCAATATGTTGACTTATCCGTGTCAAGTCATCTATTTCGGGTAGTCCTTGACGTGGTAGCTCTTGAGCTTGACGAACTGATCGAAGCCGAACTTGCTCAGCGTCTGGCCTCGCCCAGAGTCCTTCCACCCAACCCACGCCAGATCCTGAGTCGGTTAGTAAAGTGTCGTGTGTAGTCCTAGAATAACTTACTGGTGCGGGGTAGTCGCATCGGTTTACGAAGACTGTGCCAGCCTCGACGTCATCGGCAAGCTCATGACCCTTGTTCACATCTTTGGTCCATATGCTAGCCGTCAGTCCGAATTGGCTGTCGTTCATCAATTTGATTGCTTCTGCGTCATTCGAGACCTTCATGACCGGGATGACAGGACCGAAAGTTTCCTCTGTCATTACGGTCATGTCATGCGTGACATTCGTCAAGAGTGTCGGAGCCACATAGTTGCCATCTGCAGGTGGGTTCTTGAAACTGGCGTTGTCTGGGGTAGCGTCCTTGGCACCCTTCTCCAGAGCATCCTTGACGTGCGACTGGATAGTCTCTGCTGATCGCTTTGAGACTACTGGGCCAACATGTGTGCTCTTGTCGAATGGATCGCCAAGTTTGTATCCGCTGAGTACATCTTGAAGCGCTGATACAAATTCATCATGTATCTTTTCATCGACATATACCCTCTCAACACTGCAGCAACTCTGGCCAGAGTTGAAGACAGCGCCGTCTACAAGTTCTTCCGCGGCCCATTTGACGTCAACATCGGAGCGTACATATGCAGGATCTTTGCCTCCAAGCTCAAGACCCACTCGTAGCGGTACGCGGTCATTTGCAGCCTGCTGGACCGCAAGACCATTGGCCACCGATCCAGTGAAGCAAACCAGCTGGATCTTGGGCGAGCGCGCAATCGATTCAATCTGGACGATGGAGCCGCTGTGGAAGATTTGAAGCACACCATCAGGCAATCCGGCTTCCTTGAAGATGTCCTGGATCTGCTCGGCACTGGTAGGCGTTTGTGGAGATGGCTTCAGGATGACCGAGTTGCCGGCGAGCAGGGCAGGTACTAGCGAGTTGATGAGGGTCAGATACGGGTACTGCAGGTAAGTCAGCATGTGCCGACCAAAAATAGCTTATGGCCTGCACGCACGTTCCATGGAAACAAGATCAAGACGGGCCCAAGCGGGACTTTCTTGATGTAGCGCTTGAAACCTTTCTCCGCCTCGCCTGGAGTATCTTGAAGTGTCTCGTCACTAATCTTTAGTAGATATTCGCCGCGCATCACCGCTGTAGTAACTTCTTTGGCAGTGTACGCGATAGGACGGCCCATCTGCTCAGTGATCTCCTTGCCCAGCACATCCTGGCGGTCGTTGAGCAATTTCAGAGCTTTCTTGACAATCTCTTTCCTTTCAGCGAGCGATGTGCGTCGATAGGACTCGAACGCAGTGGCGGCTGTTTCAGGCAAAGATTGGAGGTCTGCATCTGAAAGGCCATTGCGCGTGACAACTGGCTTGTTCGTAATGGGAGAGATGGTCGTGATCTTCTCCAGCGACATGATGGCGTGTGTCTGGTATGTAGTTTATTTGGATAAATTGAGATGGAGACGCACGGCGTGTCGATTCAGTGGCGTCTTGGGAGCAGTTAATTTTGAGTTGAGGCTTTGCCCGCAGTCGCATCGGAGATGACGTATGATAGCGCTAACGCTAGCCCGTGCACGTCCCATCATAGTGGAGGCCTCTCATGGCTTCACGCCGAATAACGGACTTGGTTGTCCGCTATCGACAAACACCATGGCATGCTCTCCAGAAACTCAACTTGAACATACAACATCATTATGAAGCATGCTCGACGCGCGAGATGCACGAAAGACGCGTCGAACAACATTAATTCGTCGCGTTGGTCGCCAGCATCGACGCGCCGACGCTCTCCACGCAAGCCTGGTAATATTCAATCGCACGTGGACCTCCTATCTTGTGCAATCGGGTGTGTTCATAGCTACAGTCGAAATACTGGAGTGCAGATAGTGCAAATTCGGGCCTTTTCTGATCACCTTAGTAGTAGTAGCCGATGTGTACGGAAGCGATCAGGCAACGCCGTGTGCCGTTCAATACAGTGCAATCATATTCGATGGCCGCCGCGCCCTTATTACTTGAAGAGAACAGCATATTGGTGCGGCGTCGCCGATTCGCTAACATTGCCAAATTGTGAGAGTGCCACCCGCGCAGTGTGGAGATAAGAGCTACAAGACTTCGGCAGGTGTACCGGCGGTAACCTCTCGCTGGAGGCAAGGTCTACAGAGCCGGTCCCGCACCCACCACGTAACGTCCCGAGCGACTTGTAAGACTGTGGCACCTAGGTATGCTGCCCTTCCGGGCCAGGGATGCCGTTACCTGCGCCATCACGACTCATCTTGACTAATTACCTCCACCTTCCATCTTTCATCATTCTACTGTGGTCAGACCTTCGCAGGAGAAAGCAGCCGGGGAGATGTAAGAGAAGAGCCACCTCCCCATCCCAGTTCTGGTAAACAGCATATCTGCTCGACAGAGTTCACCCTAAAGGCCCATGCAAGTGACACGAGGTTCCATTCCGTATCGAAAGTTGAACTGACACTGGGGGTGTCCTGACCGTTCTGGGCTCGCCGGCAGTGGTGGCGAGTTTGGCTCCAACTTTGAGCGTCAGCATGGACTGCAGAAGATCATAGGTCGTACATGGTTCTACTAACGGTGCGTAGCTTGGCGGCATGGCCGGCCCTCGCTTGCGCTCATCAATCAACTCCACGCGTTGCATGCGGCGGCGGCGTCAAGAGCTGCGCATGCAATATCTAGATGTCACCAAAGCCAGCCCAATTCGGAGCTGGGGAGCCGTCGTGCCTTGCGTATCTACCCTTCCTGCTCCAGACTGCATGTGTATGGTGGCCTACAGGAACGAGGTATTGAGCTCAGGCTGGACAGTCCCTTACAGAGTATCGTCCAGTGACTCGGTCTTGGGGCACAGACTTACAGTGGGGAACATGATAGGGCTCTCCACTCTTCCCTGTATCTTGCCAACCTACGCCCCTCCAGATGATCCGCGGATGTCGATCCGGACTTTCGATGAGAAGGCTGTCAGCACGAAGATCTGGACTTTGTTGAGTCACTTCTAGGTTGCCACTATCCAAGCCACCTGGACCCTTCTTCAGCCCTGAATGTCAAAGTGACAGCGAAAACACGATCCGACGATGTACACGGTGCCGGCAATACTAACGTTGACTGAAAGTGTCTAACACGAAGTCGACAATATAGCTAAGTCGAAGTTTGCGACTTTCAATCCACTAATATTCACTGCCTTCATGACCGTCTGTAACAACTTGGCCTTTTGATCACTGTCGAGCTTTGGCCCTTCAATCTGTCCCTGGAGTTACAGGGCTGCTGGAAACAGTATTTAAATGATCCGATACAGTTGCTCCAGGTCTTTGTAGATACAGACTGGGCGCCGGACCGGTTTCCTCATACTAGGCGGGTACGCGACACTTATAACGGTTTGTCATAAGACCCACAGCATACCACCTGTTAGACGCGATGAGCCCAGTACACCGTAAATCATCGGGGCTGATCACCTGACCTTCATTAAAATTATGGATATGAGCAGGCATATTTCGATCGGTAGTTGATGAGCTGTCAAACTCTTTTTCTGCTGAACCCTAAGTATGGTACCATTTCCTGGCTATTAGTGGGCGGGAGGAGCTTTGTGAAAGACGGTCGTCTAATATTGCTTGGCTGTACATGCGAATTGCCTCATCTTCGGTGGCTGATCTGGTATTTCGAAACGTTACAGAGACTACAGCAATCATGGTGAAAGTCCCCTGAGCTATTCTAGTTGCTACATGCAGACTCACTAGGTTCCGGATCCGACCTAGTAACGAGAACCTTGATTTCGACTTGGACCTTGACTGAAAGAGCTTACTTCGTCCAGGATGAATGCAGGCC